GGGACTTTCACGTCGCCAATGCTAGTTATAAAAATCTTTATCTGAGTGAGTGAAAAAGCATCATAGCAATGGACGCGATTCCAAAGTCATGAGTGGGTATAAAGTCACTTCATAATCGAGTGTACAGGGCAGAAACAGCTGAGCATCGTTTCATCGGTTAGCCTAAAAAGTATCATTCAGCCAGGTATCGGTTTTTTTTTTAGGAAAAGTAACTAGGGCCAAATGCTCTACACACAGTCATGAAAGCAGCTGTAACTTTTATACGCGATGCTTTCAATGATGATGGCTTTGCTTTCTTACCGATTCGTGCTTCGCGATAGAAAGTTGCTTGGTTGTGGACATGCTGTACTGCTTTGGAGTGCCTCGGAAAATTGAATTTGCTTTTGCGTTTGTTTATTTTCTTACCTTATCGCAAGACGAGAGTCGTGGCAAGATATTCATACCGGTAGGTTCGAAAAGCGGGCTCTAGGCGTCGAGACTGTCGACTCCTAGATTTACGTTGATAGCTTACTTTTGCGTGGTACTGTCAAAACAATGTGAGACTCAATTTTCTGGAAAGTTCAAAAAAGTTTTATATAAAGGTTTCATTACTGCCTGCTTATTTTATATCCTTGCTTACTCTGAGAATAATTTTTCTCATGATGAGTTCCTCATTTCGGTCGCTATTTATAAGATACGTGTAGTAAATCTTGGAAAGAAATAACGTCAGATATTTATTACTCTTTGAACTTCTTTTTAAACATTGACAAATCTTGAAATGGATTATTTATTTTTTAATCAGGTACCAAAGATAACTGTCATCATGAAGGGCAGTTACGGACCGAGCAGTTACGCAATGGTATGCCTATTGATGGCCTCTGAAGTAAAACTCTTACCCCGTAACTGATGTACACATGGAACACTTGACCAACGAGCTGATTAAAAATAAACAGATAAACAATAATTGGCAGCTTTTTTTCGATTCTTCGAATTGGCAACTGTATGTATTTTCAAATTCTTTTTTGTTGTATTTGGCTAAGTTCAGTGTAACTAGGTATTACATTGTAAGTTGGCTTAGTCCAGGTATTTGAAAATAAGGAACAAAATGTGCCATGCAATTATCAAAGATTTTCAGGTCACATCCTCGATGTTGTTCATTTTGTCCCTTTTCATATAATCTGGTAGTATTCCCTTGAATTTAATTTTCATTTATTTATTTATTTTTTTCAGTGTGGTCGTTCTTTTAATCCGCGTTTCTTATTTACATGGCCCACGGCACAAGTTGCCATGGATACAGTGGAGGACATGGTTTCCATGTGTTGTGCAGAGGTAAGCTTGTTTTGGTTTTTGTGGTTTTTTTGTTTTGTTTTTGGGATCAATAATTAGTTTCAATGGTTAAGTTACACATCCATACTCTTTGGATTGTCTTTCCGCCGGAGTAAAAGGCGTAGGCAAAAAAGACCTTTAACTGGAAAATTTTTGGAAGTTCAGGGAGAAACCATCTGACGAGTTATCAAGGGAGAGGTGGGTTAAATCAAACACTTTAAGTTAAGAGGAAGGAAATAGAGAGTAACAATCCATGTTAAGTAAATAACTAAAAAACCCTCATTTTTAAGCCGAAAAATTTTCGCTGATGGAGAAAGATTTTGCCGGAATGGTTTTCGCACAAGGATAATCTTATAGTCTAATTTTACAATTTCCTATCACCGTCCCCCCCCCCCCCCTTAAAAAAATCAATTTTTAAATTTTTTTTTGTGTGTGAAACGACCACATCCCCTTTGCGTTGTTCTCTCCAAATTTGGAGAGTATGGAAGGAGAAGGGGAGGGGGGGGGGCGGCGGCTGAGAGACCCAGAAATAAGGTTAGCCCAGTCACGGTAAACAGCAGAGATTACATCCTATCTCGAACACTTTTTGTATTCTTTGAATAACCAAGCAGTAAAAAAAACCCTTCTAGAATGTTTTGGAGAATGTTTTGGCAGTTTTCTCTATTGGCTGCAGGGCAACAGGAAAATTTCGTGTTGATAACAGTATCTTTAATCTCTATTTCTTATAATTTTCGTTGCTTCTTTCCACTTGCCTTACCTTTAAAACTTATTTTTCCCCCTCAATTTCATGTAGCGCGAAGCAGAAGACGATAGTTTGGACGAAGAGAAACTCGTGGCATTGAAGGAAAAGCTCAGTAACAAGTAAGAAACTGTTGCAATCTTACCGTATTTTGGCATTTCAGCCATTAGACTTGGAAGCTCAAAGACTGTGAACGGAAGTAAATACATGCTCCACCGAGGCACGCTAGTATGTTATGTACAAAATGTGAAGGTAGCGTAAATTCCATAGCCTTGATATCGCTGGACCTTAGAGACTGGCTATTAAGCGGCGACGAGTCACAGCAATCAATCTTATCGGTGCGAGATGGCACAAATTCAAACCAATATGAATTTGAGTAACTTGATGCAGAGATATTTGGCCCAAAAAAGGTCTTTTACTGACAGGACTTTATTGAAACCAGTAACGGGAACGGAACTCTCGGACTTAAAGTACAGCGGTAATCCGTAAAACGATGTAAGATGGCAGTTGACAACACGGTCTGAGCACCAGTTTCGCCGCAACCAGTTTTTGGCAAGCGCTCATCTAAGTCAATTGTTTGAGCAATCAGCAAGAAGGAGAAGTGAAGAGCCGGTTTTTGACTTGAACTTTAAATCTTGCGCATTTTGTCATACTTTGTCTATTGGTTCTGTAACATTTAGGAGGGAGGACATTCGTCTCATCTTAAGTCTGATAACAATGAGACTTCGCCGCACGCTATGAAACAACACAAACTAGGCATGCGCAAAGCAATCTTGCGGTAAGACCTTATCGAGCACAACTCCCACATTCCTTTCTTTTGTGAATTAGGTTTGAAAAAGAATCAAATGGTTACTACGGAAGTGCTCGTCTATGGGATGATGGTGTTATTCTACCTCAAGACACAAGGAAGGTACGTAACACTTTCAAAATCCCGTTGTGTCCAGTCTCTTAGCACCCCCCTCCACTCACGTTTGGTCATTTCTCCGTAGGTTCTGGGCCAGAGTTTACGCGCAGCGCTCTCCTCATTCCCTCGCGGACAAGGCAGCAATTTTGGCGTCTTTAGAATGTGACACTAAATTCAACTCTTACCATTTAAGGGCATAGGTTAGTCAAGTAGTTATGACATTTAGCTGTCTTTGATCATTCGCAGTCTCACCCCCCTAACGTACACATCATACTTTGTAGATTTGTTTGTGTAGTATTTTATTTGAGTAAACTTTTCACAAATATGGTTATCACAGTTTGCTTCACCATATAGGATGCAAATAACAACTTGAACAAGTGCATATTACTTAATTGGCTATTTCGCGGTAATATAGAAAAACACCTAAGAGAAACTGAGAAACCATTAAACTCGTTCCCAGGGTCTCCTTTTTTCCCTGCCTTGTCTCTCTTCTCAACGACAAGGAAGGTAAAGGAGAGAACCTGGGAACAAAGCAGACTTGGGATGTAGTTGGCATTCCCATCTCACGAAGGAAACCTAAGGGCCTATTTACACGGTACGACTTTGTCGCATGCGACAAGCTTACGACAGGCTTACGACACGAATTGTTTCGTGTAAATCAAACCAACAACTCGCTTACGACTCTTAAGTCATGTCGTAGGCCTGTCGTAAGCTTGTCGCATGCGACAAAGTCGTGCCGTGTAAATAGGCCTTAATATATACACTACACAGAGGCCTAAACAGTAAAACACACTGATGATGGACCTTTCTCCAGCACCTGGGTGAGACACCCGTTGGCAAATGATCTTTTAGCTGAGTTAAGATTTGAGATAATCACAAGTATTTGTTATGTTTGAAGGATTTACGCAACACCCTTACTCATTCAAAAAGTTTGTGAATGTATACGTGAAAGTCTTTTGACCATCTCTTTCCCGATAGTTTGAGTTGCATCGACTTCTAATTTTCAGTAATGTTTTAATCGTGTGCTTCCTCGCTATGGCTGCCGGTTTGGAGAAAGGTTCATTTGCCAGCTGCAAGCCCAAGTATTTTCTTAAGATCTGATCCTAAACTATGTTAAGTGTTAACGCTAAGTCTAAAAGTGCGAAAGTATTACTTACTATAATGCAGTCATATTAAAAGTAACTCAATTCTACAAGGGGAACTTCGGCAAAGACAATTATGAGATGCGTAAGGCAACTAGAGGTGGAATATAAGTGCATTTTGCGCGTTCTGACATGAAGCAATTTACGAACTAGGGTTGCTTTGTTATCTAAGACTAAACACTGCAGACTCGAGATCTTAACAGAAAGTCCGAGAGAGAGAGAGAGAGAGAGCTCTGCACTTGTGGTCACCGTATGCATCTCTAAAACGCCTTTGCTATCGCTCCCAACTTAGATCAGAGGTGCGATTCACATTACTAACATGCATCTTACGTTATTAGTTGAAGCTAATTCACTTGTTTGACAAGTTTTGCATATAAAAAAAAACTACACAATATACGCAAAGTTTAATGTGGATACAGTTTTGTAAATAAAATGTTTAAAAACGTATATTCACTTGTAAATATTCATTTAAATATGGTACCAAAACGTTACCAAGTTATGTACAAAATAAGCGGCAATTCTTTGACTAGTTTACTAGCCACAACCCAAGGCCCGCGGGTTATCTTTCCCAAAAATCCCTTTTCCCTCAGGACTATACTTCGACCGCAAGTCCCGCTAATTAAATTTTCTTAGGTTTTAAGGCCACAGCTACCAATTACCAAGTACCAATTGTGATTGGATAAATTCTTGAAAAAAACCCTTCAACAGAAATCAGTTCAGAGATAAAGGAACACACTTTCAAATTTCCACAAGGAGAGGCAAACAAGCGACATTCTCAAAACTTATTGATCGAAAATATTTCGATAACTTTCCTAGCTATCTTATCGCTCAGCCACCGCCCCGCCGACCAGGCCCAGGCCCACCCCCACTCCTAAACAGAACATGCTGATGGAAAATGACAATTAAGGGGTAGAAAACAAAGACAGAAGAGTGGAAGTATACAATTTTAACACCCTACTTAATTTGTGTTCCGGCTAGGCCTTGTTCAGATCTGTAGCAACACTGGATTTGAACGCTTGATTATCTTTGGATCCATTGGCCAAGTTTGACGTATCAACACCTAACATACACAAGAAAAACGACGTTAGATAGAAATAAACCGGACCTAGGGGAGTAGGAGAGGGGCAGTAAGGACAACAACGAACCCATTTCACCCTCCCCACCCACGGCTACCTTTTCATACCGTTACAACAGTATACATATTCTCCATGCTGTTCTCTGTACATTTCATATGATACTGACAAGGAGAATTTGTTAAACAATCAAGAGCTTCTTAAGTTGGTAATCTTCCTTTTCTGTCACGACCTTGATATTGGATTCAGGGGTAACACTGTAAGGGGAAATTCCACACGAGTCACGCATGGAAGTTAATAGGGGTTTCTTAACCCTGGAGCGTACATGAGTACAGCAGACTGCCATGGTAGGGTGACAAGTCTGGTGAGGAAGTAACGGGGAGGGGAAAGAGGAGAAGGGGGGGGGGGTTTCCCGCAAAGGAACAAGATCCCGTTCGGGGAACTTAAGAATACTCTAAGTCAATTCACGCTAGGGAAACTTTTATGAGATCAGACAGTAGAAGAAAATTTAAGTTCTATACAACATTGCTGTTGAAAACATAGTGTAAGAAACAAAACTCGCTGTGATAACTGTTAAGACCATCACCTTGATATTCCGGAGGTGGGATGGGATATCCGCCATTTTGGGCACTCTTCTGTGGGGTGCCCTTACCATTAGCCACAGCCAGTTCATAACTGACGTTATCCCCCGGTAGCCCCGTGGGGTGGACCGGTGACCGGCTCCTAGTTCCCTTGCCATCATGATGCGACTGCGCAGATTCGTACGGAGCTGGTCCGATAGCGCTGAGCAGCACGGGAAGGTAGCACAAGCCGTGAAACAAACCATATACGACTACACAGAAAAACACCTGAAAGAAACCAGAAAAGAAAAAAAAAAGATTGAATCGTGTACAAGTATGGATTGAAAACAATTACTAAGGAGCATAGGTAGAGCATTTCTTAAATGAGTGTCTTAGATATAAGGTAATCAGAAAAGCAAATCAGAACAGTGGAAATATCACAGGAGCCAAGGAGAACTCACACTGAAAAATCAAACAAACAGATGCGTGGGTAAATGCATGTAAATGCAAAGTCTTCATTGGTTTTTAACGTTTCATCTGATGGGTTCAAAAAGCGGTGGCATGATATTTCCACATCAATCAGAGAGGTAAGTAAAGCAAAACCAGAGGATTACTCTGCTAGTCAAATGAACATAGCTCTACACACGATATGAACACTTAACGCATCGAATGAGTTAAGAATCTCTTGATTTTTTAGGGGGGGGGGGAGAGGGTTGCATTTTTTTCCTCAAAACCTACCATTTGCTGATAATTAGGACCTGCAAGTGTCAGAGTCCAAAGATCGATTTTGTCTTGACACGCATTCATACACTCACATGGAATACAACAAACTGCTGCGTCAAGTTGTCGAAAAAAAAATGATTCGCGTGCAGTTCAGTGGTTAAAATTAATTCCTGTGGATTCTATATTTCCATAATTTGTTACGATACACCTTTACTTTAATTACTTACCTTGAAGAACGTCTTAAACACATACGAATTGGAAAACGCCAAAAGAAACACAGCTAAAAATGTACTGAACCCTCCATTCCACACTGCTGGCCCAATATCCCTCAAAGTAGCGCGAGCACGTTCTTTAAAAAACAAACAAACAAAAATGAAGAAGATTCACAATTAGTATTAACTCGTATTTTGAACCCTAATGACTGAAAACGAAAAAATTGGTCGGGTTTCTGAGGTGTGTGCCGCGTAGTTTAAAATTGTATCCTTCATAGAAGCTATTTAAACCGATGTTTGTAGACTTCAAATTCAGCACATTGAAAATATAAGTTAGTGACGACTTGAAACCTATGTTAAATTCAGTTTATCAGTTCTCTGTTTCTGATTCCCAGTTTAAACACACGTTTTGCTGGTGTGAATGGTGCATAGTTTGGTAAGACACCAAAAGAGACAATAACACACCAAGAAGGAACAAGATGGCTGAGGATGGAGTAGGTTGACACGGATTTTAAATAAAAAAAACAAACTCAGATTGAAACTGACAAACACGAACACTCACCGGTTCGCGAGCCTGGTATTATCATAAAAGTGTGTCCAACATGGGAAGCGTAATCCACAGACAGCCCAACCGCCAGCACCAGACAGATAGTACTCACAGTATCAATTGTCAGGCCCCAAAAATGCATCGTACCTGTGATGTTGACCTGGTGGCCAATAATTGATAAATATGGGTTACTTCGAACAATGAAGCAAAAAGGGGGGGGGGGGGGGGGCTGAAGTACGGTAGTGCTAGTAGCGCCTCCAAAACTGTTCTGCGAGATATTCTAGTACTGAAGACCAGGGGAATTCCCTGCCGGGGTGGGGGGGGAGGTTTTACCTAAGTCAGTACTAGAGGAATCCCCCATCTCTCTCTCGGACAGGAAGAATAAAGAGGCTTGGGAACAACACTGCCCATTTCTCCCTTTCACAATCACGTGTGCGCGAAAAAATTCCTGGTGACACGTACCAAAGTGAAGCCGACACAAGTGAAAACAAGAAGACAGGTCCACAGGTTTGCCAGGACAAGCAGAGTCACCAGAAACACTGTCATTAATGCCAGGCCCATATTACGAAACAGTTCCTCGGAGATCACCTGGAAGGGAAGATTGAAAAAAAGCTAAGTGAATATACGAGCATATCGTTACGATATGAGTTGTACAAAAACTCCCCTAAGTGTAGCACGTACAAAATATTCTATGAAAATCTACTGTTACTATTCTTTCTCGCATTTTAATGAGCGTGTTGGCTTGGAGTATTAGCTTACGGACGAAAATTAAGTCTGAGGTTTAAGACAGTTTCCGAGCTATGAACCACAACGTAATAAAGTGAGGCTATTCCCTTACCTTGTTTGTCTCCCATCCCAGATAAAAGAAAGAGTACGGGAAGGCAAGCTCATCGGGGAACACTTCTCCGACTTTTTCACGCAAGTCCTCCATAGCTTTGACTTCTGTTTGTGTGGAGTCCATGTCTTTATGCGTCAATCTCATTCGAGTAGCCTGTCGGAGAAGGATAAATAATGAATGATCTTAACTGGATTTAAAACAACACAATACTCATCAAGAGAGGGAGGGGGGGGGGGAGTTCTCAATAGCTGTCCACAGAGTGCTACATTACGATGTTAAGGAGAAAATTGCATTAACCCTTTACATCCTAACATTAGCATGCATATTTTCCATTTCATATGGTATGGCAGAGAAAAGTCGTTCGACAATCGAGAGCTTCTTAAATTGTTGTTGAATTTATCCTCGTTATCTTCATGTTTGAAAGAGATGACCAAAGGCTTACGAGTGAAGGGGACTTCGTCTCATTCAGTTGCTTAAAAAAGAGGAACATTTCTTACTGTAATTTCAAAGGTTGACCCCGTTCCATTCTTCATTCGCACATCATTACGATAGCTGATCCCAGGCCCCTTTAGAAACTCGTTCAGCCATTTGTAGAATTCCGTTTTGCTGTTTATTTTCCCTATAATGGAGAAATGGAGAAATTATTTCAATGCTGCTGATAGTTTTGTTCCTAAAGAAGAGAACTTTATCGATAGTGCAAGCAGTACAAGTAATGCTTGGCAATTTGGAGCAATTTTTAATTGAGTGTCCTGAGTAATCTTGGATTTCTTTGATCTTGCTTTACTTCGCCCTTTGATTAGTCCAGAAAATCCGCGCAACTTTCTCAACTAATCAGTTCCAAGGCTAAAGCCGATCACGACTTGATCACGCGCGTTTTCCCGCGCTTAAGGCAGTTTGGTCGGTTTTACTTTGCCTTCTCATTGGCTCTTCAAGGCATGTTCCTTCTCTCTGATTGGCCATTGTGATTACTTTGGTTGTGATTTTACGACACTCGACCGAAAAGCGCGCTCTAATAAAGCACGTGTGTTTTATTGTGTTTTGAATAGTTAGAATTGTGAGTAGAGTAATTTTCAAAATGGAAAGTTTCAAGTTGAGCGATTTCCTCCTGAGTGTCGAAAAACCAAAGCAAAGACGACGGCCAATCAGAAAGAACGGAAAATTACAGAGAACCAACCAACCTGAGGTGAATCGACCGATAGTCAACCGACAGTCGGCCGATTGTCGACGGATACTTGACCGACAGTGTGCCGAGTAAGGGCGAACTATGGGTTGAGTGTCGGTCGACTGTAGGCCGATATATCGATCAAGACTACTATGGTGCGCATGTTCCAGTTTTCTCTACAACTCACATTTAGAGCTGCTCTGATCAAACACTTGTCCTGGTTTCACTTTCTTGGCCCAGTCAATGTATTCTTCATACCAACTGTTCACTGAGCTTGCCACCACATACTCGTCACTGACTGCCAGATCGTAAAGGCCGTGTAGTTTGCCTTGATTTTCAAAATATTCAAACTTTCCTGCAGATAAAAACGAACGACAACAAACAGTTTTGTTTGATGAAACATGTTGAACACTAAACTGTTTCCTTCTTTAAAATTCTTGATACGGTATTGTGCAAAAGTGATGCCAATGAAATGTACGAATTTCCTTGTTTGTCCTTGTGAAATTTCCTCGAAAGTTGAAGCGAAAGTTCGCGCGGAGATTCGCAAATTCGATTCGCGTCATTTCCCTGGAAGACAGAGCACTATTTTTGTTAAAGCCACCCTGTCGATCTAACTAGTTTCCTCCTTGATTATTGGAAGTCTGATTGTTTCTCTTTGGCTACTTGGAGGTGAATAATACTTTGCTAATTACTTCTGAATTAGCCAAGAAGCTCGCACAAAAAGCACTTTTACCATAATTGTGAGAGCTATCTTTATGTCTGAACTAAGACCACACAAGACGCAGATAGTCAGTGGATAATTTTTCTTCGAAAACGACTGTACCGCTCTCGTGTACTGCCGCATTAAACACGCTTGACGCGCGTGTAATTCCCGCGCATAACACACGCGGAACACGCACACTGCAGTTCACTACACGCACCTGCGTATAATAAAAAATGAACTGGAAAATGCATTTTATCAGCTCACGAACCTGTGTAGATATTTGCCGGTCTCCCATCCACAGGGAAATACTGCAATAAAATAACAGTTTTAGAGCATATACCGCATTCAACAGAACAATAATTAATTTTTTGCATCTAAAGTGAGGCGCTTGTTCGAGGGGGCACTTATTGAAGGGCGACGCCCATTGAAAACTGGATGCGACGAAAAAATGTTCTCTTTCAATTTAACGGTATGTTTTCAATTCGTACGAAAATTTTATAGTAACTAACAGAGGTGTCTGTTGATGTCACCGATTTTCTCTCCCGGCACTTTCATTTGCATTTGTATTTTTTTCTTCACTCAACTTCGATCTCACTGAGCCCTTCTTCTTCGGGGCGGCGCTTATTTGAGTAAACAAGGTATCACATAACTTGAACTACCCACAACAACTTTAATTTTGCAAGTTTTTAAAAGCCCCATTGCCAATAAAAGTTATGTGTAACTTTTGGTAAACTTGTGTTTAGTTCAACTGACCCAGTTCTCCTACGCCTCAATACTACAATTTGGTTTGATAAAAAGCACCCACATCCTCTGTTGTTTCCTAATCCAACCCTACATAATGCAATGGCTGACTCGTGAGCGGGCCGTCACTCCCCTTTAGGGAGTTTTAGATCCACGTTTGTTTCTGAATACGTGTAACCGCAAACGTCTAGGAGTCACGGGACCAGACTCCAACGGTCACGTTTGCCGTCCACGTTTGAACCTCAAGTAAGGCAGTTTCAGGTGATTAAACTCCGTCGACGCTTTTTGTCATCTTGTTCGAAAGTTCTCGCGTATGTCCTATAAATATCTGTGAAGTAAAGTCTCTTCTTCATAACCATTCCGTTTGGGACGCTAGAAACCGATCTTTCAGCCACATTTCGTGCTTCAAATAAAGGACCTCCATCCATTGTGTATTTCGAGATGGCGGCGCACATGTTGATTTTTTTCAGGGGAAATCTGACGTCGATCTAAAAAGCTGAAACTCTTGAAACTTCTAACCTCTAACCACAAACTGCTGACCACAGTTTGACGTTTGCGGTGAACAATTCAAACGTGGATCCAAAACTCCCATTAATAACGCTTCGGCACGAGCGTAACAACGCGAGCTGGCGAGAGATCAGCATGGGGTCTGGAACTAATAATTGTTGGTGCCAGACCCCCGACGAACTTCATCTCGACTCTACCAATCGCTCTCATGAAGGGCTAACGCTCGAAACGTCGGCCTTTAAACTCTTTACGGTGGCCAATTTATGTTTTCAACTCAGTTGATAACGCTTAATTACCTGTTATACTCTCCCACCGACGCAGCACCACAGTTTCTCTAGAAAATTACCCCCTTTATTCGTTTCAAATCTTCCCGGGGACGGAGAAATGCGGGTCTTGCCGCGCTAATAATGGGGGTCTCCTAGTTTTGACAAAGTGACTCATTAACTTTACCTTGGTATTCATTGTGCTGTACTTGTAACTCATTGACTCGACTGGCAAAAACCAGATACGGTCGAAGTACTGCCGCAGCATCAGTGTACCGTACAAATTAACACCAAAAAGGGTTCCTGTTATAATTATCACAACGATCTGCAAGATAATAAAAATACAATGCAAAAAATTTTTACAAAAATAAAATGCGCACATCAATACTACGAAATTTAATTATGTTCAGGATTGACCGAAAGAATTGCGTACTTCAAAAAACGTTCACATGAGTGAGATCCGACTAAGTTTTATATCAACTGAGTTCATGATGTTAACTGACCCCCCTAGAGAGTTTCTAAAGCTTTCACGGTGGCTGATTTACAGTACAAATTCAGTCGATAAAACCAAATTATTTTGTAAAACCCCAACGACGTAGCAACACAGTTTCATTAGAAACTTATCCTCTTTATTTCTTTTAAGATCCAAACACTGACGAAGGCCAACTGAAGAATTGCAATGCGATCCACAACTCAAAACTCTTAACGGACAGAATCCGGAATACTCAATAATTTGTAAAACAATCAAGAGTGTTTTGATAGAATCTCATTAATAAGGACACCTTTTGAGGTCTTTTGAAGAGAAATCGAATTTCATAGAGGCTCAATCCTGGACATATCTCCTAAAACTTTTAACCCTTTACACCCTAACATCAGTATGCATATTCTCCATACTGTTTTCTAAACATTTCCTAAGGTGCTGACGAGGAGATTTCGCTTAACAATCAAGAGCTCCTGTACTTGTTGATCATTTCCATTATTCTCATGACCTTAATGTTTGATTCAGGGGTGATATTGTAAGGAGAAATTAGATGCTAGTCACTCTCAGGGGTTAAAGGGTTAACTGTGTAATTGCACTAAGGTTTTACCTTTCCTGGAAGTGAAAGTAAGGCTCGTGCAACATATTTGTCCATAAATTCCTGCAAGAGATCTCTCTTGCCGCGCTCACTTTCTGTGTAATCATCTCTCAGCTTGATACAACAGCAGCAGCCATCTCGATTCTTATTTTGCCTGTACACAATTGAGGAAAAGTGTTAGAAAAGAAAATGCAATTGAAGCTCACACATTGACATTTAAGCGACAAAAAAATAGCCAAATACTTGGATATACGTTATTGTGTAAAAGTAACGCAAACATTCATCGACACATTTCGACGTTTTCTATCCCCAATTTTCGAAGCTTTTCGTGGCAGCTTTCGTTTGGATCCGTCTGAACTTTCGCGGAACAATTCACTGGGGACGTGAGTGAATCCCAAATTTTCGAGAGAAAGTTTGCCCCTCCCGAAAGTTTGCACTTCATAATTCACGCAAAAGCTGTAGGTGAAGGAAGATTGGTTATTTAATTCATAACGAAACACAGAATTTCCCACTATGATCCAGTCTCCAGGCAAACTGCAACAAAAACAATCTTGCCATTAACGTAAACCATGTTTCCATTACTGTAAACATTAAAGAGCATTTTACCTTCTAGCATCCAGAGCTAAGAAGGCTGTAAACATTGTGGCCTGAAGTGCAAAGTCTGCTAAAATACCTGCAATAGGAAAATATTTACAATGGAGGATAATCTGATTTTATTGGTCATATGAAAAACAAAAACAGAAACAAACAAAAACAACAACAAAAACAAAACAAAGAAAATCAACAAAAAACAAAACAAAACAAGACAGAAAAACAAAACAACAACAACAAAAATATCCAACGTACCAATTCCAGCAAAAAGACAGAAAGATCTTAAGGCAGGTAAAATCTGGAAGGAAGATCATCAAAACCATAAGCTCTTTTGCTCTCATAAGAGACCAAAACAGATTTTCTCACTGTAATATCAATACAGTATCAAGCAGACAAGTCATGAGAATAAAGAAAAATATCAATCATGGGATTATTAGTAGATCCAATACCGACCTCCCTGAATTAATGAAGAATTGTATTGCAGATGGTAAGGAGAATTACTAATGAGATCTCAGGAGTGAATGGGTCAAAAAATCCCTTTCCGTGACATTAACTCTTGAGAATGGTGATGTTTAAATAATACAATTTACATAAAATATAGAAAATAAACAACTCACGGTGGTTGCTCCTATCATGAAAGCCAAGAAATCAGTCAAAGATGTAATTGTTATTGAACAACCCTGGAATAAAATAAATAGAAAATCTTAGCCAAGATCCACAGAGTGTAAATACCAGTAGTACTGTTTTGTCTTATTCTGTGTTCACCCTAAAAATGTTATATACTGTAAAAACCTGCATATAGGAACCTAAAATTTAAAAACTTGTTAGGCTTCAATTTCCTAGTTAACCCTTTAATTCCCATAAGTGACCAAGACAGAATTTCTCCTTATAACATCTATACAATATCAAGCATACAAGTGATGAGTGCAAAGAAAAATATCAGTTAGGGGACAATAATTTGATCCAATACCAAATTCTCCCAACTAACATCACAAGAACTGTATGGCAGACAGTAAGGAGAATTACTAATAAGATCTTGGGAGTTACACCCTAACATTAGTATCCACATTCTCCATACTCTTCTCTACACATTTCTTTTAATGCTAACAAGGAGAATTTTTTTAACAATCAAAGCTTCTTTAGTTGGCAATAATTTCTGTTATAACTCATAATCTCAATGAATGATTCAGCTTCATTACTGTTAGGAGAAATTAGATGCTGGTCACTCTCAGGGTTTAAAGGGTTAAAAGAACCATTTTAGGCTAAAATCTCAATACAGGTTCTTATTTTAAGAATGCAGTGTTTGCTCAAATTTGATACAGTACATCATATGTACTGTAAAGGGATAAAAAGAACCATTCTAGGCTAAAATCTCAATACAGGTTCTTATTTTTAGAATGAAGTGTTCGCTCAAATTTGATACAGTACATCATATATGTGATACAAAAAGGTAACAAAAACTAGCCAGAACACAAGCAGTGTTATAAGACCACAAAACTGTACTATCAATACATCCATAGTTGCACAACATATCTGACTGTTTTTGCAAGTTAACCATGTTAAGCAGGGTGTGATGAGGTTGGCATACAGTGCAGTATCACACCCATGCCCACTGACACAAGATGCCTTTTTTTTAAAACAACAATTAATAATGTGATTAAGAAACTAGGTAGCCTAATTTCACAATAAACACCATTTATATAAGAACCTATGGAGGCTAACTTAAAAAGAACCCAGGTTCTTAAAATAATGCAGGTCTTGATTTGTATTTCATTAGTCTATTGAGTATGCTTCTTTCTCCATACTGATCCTAGCTGGATGCTGAGGACCCCTGCCATACGCAAACTTAAGTTTGGTAAAGGTATAACCCAACAATAGCGGTTTCAGTAACTTTTTTCATAAGTAGCTCTTGATGGTGTAGCTGGCCACTGTGCCAGAAAAAGGAGCTGTAAAGCGAAACCCAAACATGTAAATCTGCCTGCAGACTAAACAGAAGGCAGTAAGAGGGCTTCAAGGCAGCAGTCAACTGCAGGTAACTAGCTTTGAAACCCCTGCTGGTATCATCTTTTCTGTAACTCAGTGGTACACCATCATTAAGGTAAAATTGAGAGGTCTGTGGTCGGACAGAAAGGTAACTGATATTTTTTTTTCATTTGTCCCACCTTTGCTACAAGATAAAAAAAACATAATTATCTTCCCTTTCCAATAAAGCCTACTGACTGTTAAAATTAGCATCTTACTAAATCTATAGTTAATAAATAAATGGAACTCACAGCATGTTTTAAAGCAAGTCCAATGCGCTCTGCAATTTCTTGGTTCTTATGAGTGTCAGGGGATAAGTTGTTCCATGCTTGTACAATAACAAACATGTCATCTACTCCAATACCTGTGGTAGAAACAATGTACTGGTAAGTTTGATTGTCAGAAGATAGTGACACAACAGTCCAACTGCTGGATGACTTTGGCTACAAAATGACTATGGATAAAGTCTCAGAATTCAGAGCAATCTTACCGAGTAAAAGAAATGGCAGTGTTGAGTGAACAGGACCATAAAAAACTCCAAAAGCACTGGCCAGCCCAAATGACACACCAATGGCCAGTCCAATGCAAATGACACCAAGTAAAGCCAGCCAAGCCTATCAGTAGATAAATAGTAAATTGATATGTAGTGCCATGGAAAAGCTGCCTAGGATAGGCTAGAATTGACTTCAGTATTGTAAAACAAAATCACACTAACTAGAATTAAAAAACCAATGGTTGAGTGTAACAAATTCAAAGGAGCCAATGGGAGTATAAAGCAAATTAACCCTTCCACTTCCAGAAGTGATCAACATGAAACTTCTCCTACAATATCCTTACATTATCCAGCAAACAGGTAATGAAAATACTCGAACTTATCAGGTAGAAGTTGTTAACTTGATCTAACACCAAATTCTCATAACTAATTTACAAGTAAATGTGTAGCAGATAGAGGGGAGAATTAATGATCAGATCTTGGGAGTTAAAGGGTTGAGGCAAGCAAACTGCTTGAAGAGTGAGGAAAACTTGACAGATAAAGTCAGGAATGGCTTTGTTTTACATCTGATTAGTTCAGAAAGTGGTGAATGTTTTTCAAGCTGATTGCAAAATCTTGTATTGGTAAAAGGGGATAAGTTTCTAAAGAAATCATGGTACAACATCAGTGGGGGGTATTAAAAGACAATTTTGGTTCATCAACTGAGATGATAACACAAATTGGCTACTGTAAGGAGTTACTAATTAAAAGCTGATGTTCCTTCATTTTGACAAAGTGTTCCTTACATTTGAAACATCAGCTTGAGAAACTCTTCACAGTGGCTAATTTACATTTATCAACTCAGTTAATAAAACCAAATTATCAAGTAATGGAGATCCAATAACTTAACCCTTTAACCCCTGAGAGTGACCAGCATCTAATTTCTCCTTACAATATCACCCCTGAATCACACATTAAGGTCATGGGAATCAAGGAAATGATCACCAACTTATAAAGCTCTTGATTTTTAAACAAATTCTCCTTGAGAGTGATTCAGGAAATGTATGGAGAAAATGCAGTCTGATGTTAGAGTGTAAAGGGTTAACCTAAACTTAACTTCCTCCAACAGTCACTGAAAAATCCCTCCACACGTATCCCAAAAAATACATGCCCTGACTATCTGCGCAGTCCAAACAACAATTTACTCTGCAACAACTGTAAACCAACAATAACTAACAATAACTGTATCACAGTACCTTGATATTGAGACGACTTAATCTTCCAAGCATAACCGCAACATAGATAATGATGAGAATGTACCCAATGGAAAGGAGTTGAACATCACCTTGAATGCTGTCACCTGAATCTGTTTGGTCTCTGATGATAAATTCAACAAGCATTTTTTATCATTAAAATATCACTGAAAACAACTATCTATTTCTGTAGTAGTTTTATTGTAGGCAGCATCCTGCTATTTTGTCCAAAGAAAGGGAAAAAATACACCAAAGTATAATGTGATTTATTTTGTGCAAAACTTACTGGAGACGAGTGTAATAATACAGCTCTGCAGATGATGGTTCCTGAGCATCCATCAATTTTCCAAATTTTTCTTCCCATTCATTTGTATTTTTATCCTCCTAATAAAAGAATCAAGTGTTTTCTTCATGACAGAAAGATAGTAATTTTGTGCTGAATTATAGATACTTTCACAGCAATTTATTCAATCAAAACTTTGCAGAATCTCCCTTTAAGCTTGTCCCTTTAAAACATGAAACAGTGAGATGTTGGCTGTGAACAACTGTTACTGAACCATCCATCTTTCAACCATTTTTCCACATCCATCCCAATATCTCAGACTGAATATCTATACATTGTGTAACATTCATCAACCAAAACCCTTGGGGTTTCAATAACGTTTTTGATAAGCAGCTGCCGATGGTGTGATAGGCAGCTGTACCTGGAAAGGGACCTTGATGTGAAACCCAAACACAACTCAGCCTGCTCACAAGCTTAGCAGATGACGAAAAGAGATCTTATGCATGTAGGTAGTAGTAATCCACCAGTGATCAGCTTTTATTCAAAAGCCCTGCAAAACACTTCCTGTCTGTGTATAAATATGACAAAAGGTGCACTAGTATATAGTTATATAACATACCAAAGCTCCTGTGTTTTTGTTCAGTTCAGGGGTATATTTTATCCCATATGACATTGATGTTGCTTCAGCCTTTGTAATGTAACCTGATTCATTCTTCTTGATTCCACCCAAGTACTGGGACAGCACAAATCTTTTGTTTGTCACAGGACTGAAAAATAAAACAAACACGTGAGTATCTTTACTCATAAATTCCTTCAATGTTTCTATCAATCAACATATAAAGAACCTGTGATCAAGTGTACAAGTGCAATGATTTCAACTCTCATTCTATTAAATTAAGAATGGATTAATTGGTCTTGGATATATAGCTGCCTTACTTACCCAAACTATTTGGCTCAGTTCATAAACTCTTTGGATATCATTACTTGGTTCATGTACTACAATAACTGTTTAGCCTAGTTTACAATTTGCAAGGGAATTCTCAAATCTCCCCTTCCATGATCCTGTTATTATTTGTAAATCAATTAATAAATAAAATGTTTAGTATCTAAAAATCACATACAAATTTATGAAAAAAAAATGCACACCCCTACCCCCCCCCAAAAAAAAAAAAAAAAACAGAAAGAGAGACAGACAGACATACATACAGACACATAAACCCATTGGTTGATTGCCTGACTGACTAATAGACCAACAAAAGGACAGACATTTAGCCCACTGGCTGATCAACTAATTGAGACAGAGATACAGACAAGGTAATTTGGTATTATTAACTAAGCAGATAAATAAATGTAAATTGGCCACTGTAGAGAGTTTCAAGGCCGACGTTCTGAGTGACTGACTGACTGACTTACTGGCTAACTAACAGACTAATAAAATGACTGACTTTGGGAGAAATTCCATAACTGGTACCTTATTATGACTGGTTGGTTTATTTTCTTCAAGATTTCTTCCTTTGTTAGAGAATTAATGAGAGTCTCATTAAACGACCAAAGCTCCAGTAGACCATTGTTAGAGCAAACTGGACCAACCCTACAAAAAAGTCATTTTTCATTATTTAAATAATCAGTTATGATGACTTACTCACTGTCACACAATAGTGACACAGTTATCATCTACAGTGTACTATACATCTTAACATTTAAAATTTCTTTTTAAAACTCTAGTCATTGTTTTATATTTACATGTATATCTATGATATCTTTAGTTTCGTTAGTAGTTACTAACAGTAGTTAATATTTACAGGAAAAGAACAATTTTTTAGTTAATGGAGATACTGTAAATAAAACATTAAGATAATAACAATTATTATTATAAATAGTTAGTCTCAAACATCATTATCATTATTTTAAATTATCATTACTCAACAATATCCGTGTTTAAGGTACAGTGTATTCATATAATGAACTTGGAGGATTGAACTTAGAAAACCATGATCTTTTGAAATACATTCTTAGCTTTTTATTGTGGTCCTCACAAGAACACTGCATGGAGATCACATCAAGTTGGCAATTCAAATACACAACCAAACATCAAATAATTAGCATTAATGGGTGGAGTTTGGTTTTATTCATGCCTGATTGCCATTTTCCTGATAAAACAACATTCCAGAGATTTTCTGAGTTGTTCTGTAAACAACTGAAGAAAAAAGAAAAAAATCCTTGCTTTCTTAGCAAATGAAACTTTATAATAACACAAAAAACAACATGTACTTAATATATAGCTGATTATATTGCTAGATTGATTTTAACACATCACATACTAACCTAAAACAAAATTTTTCCCAAGAAATATCAGTTCCATTGCCTATTTTGGTGACCTTGTTTTGAATCATAAGTGCCTAAAAGATAATACAACAAAAAAGGTTAGAAATATATAATTTTTGAATAACTTCACAGTTTCAAAGTCCCTGGCGGATCTAACTTGAACTATTTATATCTGTTGCACTCCCATAATTAGTTTTTTTCTGATGTGACAGAGCAAGTCTACAGAATTTTACATTTCATAAAATTTTGAATCAAAATATCTGGTTTTATTCTCACTATTTTCAGCTAATTATAACTGTTTAAGTGAAATATATGGTAATCCTAGAAATGCAAACACAAGTAAATGATATTTGGAGAGATTAGACACAATGTTGTTTAGATAAGTTACTGATTTGCAACATTGACATCCAATGCCAGGGTGGATATTCACCGAGCCATGAAGTAGCGAGGTAAATATCCACCACTTTCACTTAACACCGAGGTGAATAATTGTTTTATTATATACCACATAGCAACCAAAAATGTAGTTTCTCTATGAAATTATTTTTTTTTTTCTGATAGCCACTTGGCTCCTAAATTTTTCAAAGTGGTAGCCAATTCAAAAAAAGTTCATCGCCATTTTGAAAGACAAACAAAACCTTCTTTTACATTGTTAGTGTTCTAGACAGACCCTTCAAAATTAAGTTAGGAAAAAGATCTTTAACATGCTACAAAGTGGACACTAGGATGGATGACATACAACCTTCAAGCTCACATAAACCCAAGATGGCATCTAGTTACCGATTGAGATGCATGTGCTGTGTTTTGGAAACAAACTTAACAGGGCAAACAACCTTTTTAATTTACTATATCTCTGGGTAAAGTTATGATGAAGCATTCTGGTTGCCAATTTGGCGACTAGTTTTCAGGATTTGGTCACCGAAGTGAAAAATTTAGTCACACTGGCGCCTGTATTAGGCGCAATTTCATGCCCTGAATGCATTTCAGACAGCCTTGTGCCTAAGGGTATGCATAAAAGATAACAGTGAAGTGCATTTTTTAGATAACAACTACCAAAGCTGAAATTTGCATCAGTTCGAAAAAAATTGATGGTTAGGTGATACATGTAAATAAATGTACTTTAGTTCAATTCAATCACTTTTTCTTAGTTTAAAAAAGTTCAAACTTGTTAGATTTTCAGTTTTTGTTGTCCTTTATACATTTTCATTACATGAAATAGTAAAATCTCAACAAAAATTGAACTGGATCAAAAAATTTACACCAACATAAAAACAAGGGATTCTCAAGGATGTATTCCAGATGTGAGTATTCCTAAGCAATCAAAAATGAGAATAGCACTTAAAAAGTTAATTTAAAGGTGATAGAAGGGGAGGAGATCCAAAATCTAAAATCTGAAGATTTCCTTTTGCTACCACAGTGATACAGTAATATGGGCTGATGAAATTCACTGACTTTTTTCTGACTGTTCCCTAACTAACATCATATTTCCCTGACCAACTCAATTAACAGTTACAAAAACTTAAACTGAATTAACAACTCCACAAACTTCACTTTTACATACATGTACATATATTTGAAATATCATTTTTCCCTGCCATCTTTCAAAGCTGTAAGATTTCCCTGGCTTGGAGTGAAATTCCCTAACCCTTCCCTGTGACCTTCAAGAAATTTATATTTTCTGAACCTTTTCCTGACCTGTGACAAGAATAACAGAAAACATAGTGGATAGTACAGTCAAAATATTATTATGGTATTTTACCTCTTTCAAAACTGCAGGAGTAAGAACATCTCCTGCCACAAGTAGAGCTGTGGAAAAGCGCACTTCTAAAGGAAAATTTTCATCCACCCACAGCTTGTGTTTTTGTGTAGTTGAATCTTCAGGAGTCCATAACTTGTCCCCTCGAGCCTCCTGGGTAAAGTTGATCAGTCCAGCAGCACATCCTCCACAAATAATGAGTGAAATTAAGATAGAAATCCAGGGATTTCCACCAACTGCTTTTCCCAACCTGGAGAAAAATTAACATAAGTCTACAATGTTGAAAAATCCTTTTTAATCTTCTCCATCAATATACTTAATCCTCAGTAACTCCCAAGATCTGATTGTTGATTCTCCTATCTAGTTTCTACACATTTCCTTGTAAATTAGTTACAAGAATTTGGTATGAGATCAAGATAACAAGTTCTACCTGATAAGTGCAAGTGTTCTCAAAACTTGTTTGCTGGATTAAGTGTGGACAACATTACGAGAAATCAGATGTTAATCTCTTCTAGGAGTTAAAGGGTTAACCATCTTAAAGTTTGTGTACCTAGACATAAAGTCTGAACCTTCGATGATGCACTTCACAAAGATACATAACTAGGTTATTTATTAATCAAGATTGTAAAAATGATTCATTTAGAGCAAACAAGTTTACTGAATGTAATATTTCAAGATTTCCTTCCACTATTCTAAAAAGAGGCCTTGATACCAAAGGTACATCACTGTTTTTGTCATTGCTTTCTTTCCTTAAAGAGCTGTATGTCTAATGATGCAATGGCTTAAATGAAAAATCTTTCCTGTCGTGCAAGCAATGCTTAAAGTGATGTGATTATCAACAAAAACAGCAAACTTGCCACATAAGTAATACTTAGTAAAATAAATGAAAATATGTTATAAACCAAAATGAGAAATGAAAACAACAATGAGATTAAAAACAACACAGGGCATCCAAATTTAGGACAAGAAGTTTGTTTATCAACAAAATCATACTCTAACATCTCGACAAATTCTGTACTTTACAATGTAATTAATACTGCTGTATGATGTTAACATAATGTTATTATCGACAAAAGTCCAATATTGCTGCTTTTATGAGTAATTACGTGTGAATTTAATAACGCCTTAATACAGAGAAAACGGACGTTAGGCTGAAATACAAAATAAGGTATTAACTTTAAAGCGCAATATGCTTATCCCGAAATTTCACATCAACTCCCAGCTTAAATTTATGTAAAATAACTAGGCTTACTTACGCGATGCTTAGGCGATGCCATAATCAACAAAACTGCAAGCTTGCCTTTTAAGAAATAATCCTTTGTGATTATCATTAATTACGCTCATTCACTGCAACCAAATGAAGATAACATCGAAGAAAAAAAAAACAATACGTAGATTTTCCGACCAAACATGCTCATTTCCAAAATATCATAAATACTTCCGATTTGCCTGAATTTCACTGAATTTTTACGAATAAGCTTTGCTTGTTTTGCCTTACCTCGAAACATGTAGCGAATACTAGGTTTTTGAAAACATTAAAACATAATAGTCGGGCATTGTGCCTGATCTTGTTTTCTTTCTTGACGGCAGCCACATTGAACATAAGATTAACCGAAGAATCTGTAAACTCGTACGGCTCTGGCAAAATATTTGCGTTAAACGAGTACCACAGCGCTTGTTTTCGTAAATATGTGTTTGAATCGGCCAAGGTTAAGGCAACGATTGAGCAACTATTACATCATGCTTATGGGTGACTAATTCGAAACGAAACGAAACTCCAGCCATCGACCAGCGTTTGAATTTCGCACATGAAATATACGCATCAAGACGGTCATTACTTTATGTCGGTTAAATATTAACTCGACCACTGTCGATCTATCTATCAAAACTTCGCTCACACTTCACAATACAAACAACTGCAGAATATACAGGTAAATATTGGCTGGTCGTTTGGACGTTATTGGGAAGATATCGTTAATCGAATCAGTTTTTCGTAGGCTATTCTTAGCTATAAGTTAGATTAAGTAAAAAAACACTCGTATAAATTTTAATTTTGTTATAGCGTTTAGAGTTGTGCAGTTGGTAACACATTTCAGTTTCTTTCTCCAGCCGGCATAGTTACGTAATGGCGTCCCAAATTTAACACGAAAGGAAATCATACAAATTAAAAAGTGAGGTTGGTGTGAAGAGCTTTTCAAACTGCACCAAAAAATGGCCATAGCTTCCTTTTTCTTTTCTTCCTTTCTTCGCCATACAAAAATTTTCCCTTCCGTAACAATCTCCGTGACAGCTGCCATCTGCAGTGTTCTTCAACTGCGAATATGCATTCACTTTTATTTGCCTGTCATGTAATCAAATTTTTACTCACCTATAAAACCCTTTTTCCATCGAGCCAGTGATGAAATTGCTTACTTTATTCAGGCACTGGCATTTTTTATTTTCTGTCCCATCCTTTGAAGCAGAAGAACTATCCATCTTCGTTCGTGACGGTCGCCGCTACTTTAGCTTGGAGCCACTGACTTGACGACAGTACAACAACTGACATGTACTATGTAGGCGACAACATATTTCGGACTAGGGTGGGACCAGGAGTCAAGATTTTCGAATAGTTTCTTCCATTTTATACATTTAAGAAAAATTATCATGAAATTTCATCTTTCGATAGAATACAATTGCAACAAAATTGTTTAAATTCTTGTCGAAAACATTATCACTGTAAATAGTTTTATTTTTCAAAAATGTTTCCTTATCAGCGAGGGGACCCTTAGGAACTTTTGCTCTTCCTCAGTCCTCCTTCCATGTCTCGAAACAAAGACACTCTTGATTAAAGCAGAGTTGACGTCATTAACTCAAGATAGAAGATTTACTTTTTGTTATGCAGATCGAAGTTTGTGAACAGAAAATCTGTAAACTCTTCTTGATAAAATGGAAATCTATTGTTTGCCTCTCAAGTCAATGGTGTTACAGTGATCTTTAATATTGCAGTGTTTGAGCCAGAGGTTCACGACATCGAAACTCTCGTCTTAAAGATCAGACAAAAAAAAAATATTGCTTTGGGGTAAACAACTGCAAATTAGGCGTCAAATATTTCCTACTCGGGGCGAAAATGTCACGCCCCATACGGAACGATGGAAAAGATGATGTTGATCTACCGGATGATATAATTAACATTTTGTCAAAGAAGTGTTTACCGTGGCTGAATAAGACTAAAGTTTTTCTTAATCGCTTCCTGATAACAGACTGGATTTCTCGTCGAAAAGCACTAATTATTGTATACACGTTGATGGAATATCAGTATTTCTCCCATTCGAAAACGTGATGTCCCGCACGCAACTAACGTACCTTTAACATCCTCGTACGTGAATTCTGGATGACGAAATGGGACCGAGCTAAGCAATATAACACTTTTCTTTTACATTACGAAACTTGTTAAATACGAACTATCTTTTTGAGAGAAAAACTTTTTTAAAATTTTGTTTCACTTTGAAGTCAATAGTAAAGGTTTTTGCTTTGCGAGTGAAGTTTACGAGCAGGTGGTATCCGGTGCTCTTAAAATGTTTTAAAATTGTCTGTGATCTAAATACGTTATCAGTATATATGAAAACAGCATGCCTGCTCGTGGATACGAATGCATTTTTCTCGCGTTGATGACATTTTTCATACGTTTGCATGGCTTACTCATAACTTGTGAGAGATGTCATTAACACTCGAAGTTAAAATTCGTTCCCACGCAGATCACCCACGCACGGCCTCCACCAACATGTATCTCACATAAACATTTATCGACCTGATGGGGCAAAATTCTGTAACAGAGGGCATAAGTTGATTCTTATTAACTACTTTCGATTATTATCGGATGTCACCAATTTTTTTCTAATTCTTTGCTTTGCTAATGATAATATTGATAAAATAAAAAGTAATCATAATCTGAATATCTTTATAAACGTCATTTTTATAATAATTTTTTTCGTGTTTTTATTTCAGATTAGTTTATGATTATCAATCTATGTATTGTGATTTTGAGAGATATCAATGACAGTTCTCAATCGTCCCTTGCTCTTGCCGGACTTGCAATGAAAATCGATAGCGGCATTCAGAACAATTAGACATTTCACGTGAGACCCTTCGATGGCTTTCAAACAGCGTTACGTTCGTATCTGGCATTGGTCTTGTTGGGGTTTTAAGCGGTGAAGTTGCATTTTTACAACTTCTTACATCATCACTGTCTGTTTCTCTTGACTACAAACCCTTGAAGTTTTCTTCAAATACCCTGAGGACCCCTGAGATTCGTCAGTTAGAGGAGACTGCCTTTCCGTGTCAGTGTCGCTTAAAAAATGCCTTTTTAACTTCGCTCGATTGTCGCTGACACTAAAAGTATTTTTTTAATTGTTAACTGTTTTCGAAAGCTATATAGAACGGTTCACTTTATAATTTATATCCGTAGTCAATTAGTCGTGAAGCTGCCTTGAAATTCCTAGACGAGAGAGGCGGAGGGAGGGAAGCGGTATCTCATAGCTTGTACCCAGATCTCTTACTTCTTTACATTCCGAGTAGGAATTAGGTCCCAAAACAAATATGGCGGCAATGGCGGTTGGAAGAGTCTGTTGAGTTCTACTCGATTTTAACCAAGTTTTTGACGTTTTGAGAGCAGATATGCACGATAGAACGATGCTAGATAAAAAAAAAATGAGACTTTATGCTTCCATTCTAACGGGGAATGACTATTTCCGGTTGAAATCGACGTATGATGATGTGACGTTGGACACGATGTTGTAGCGATCGATTGCTCTTTTGAACATCATGGAAGGAGCTTATCAGCAGAAAGCCATGGAAGATCTGATAGAGGAAAATCGAGCTCTTCTAGAAGAACTTTCTCAATGTAAAGCTGATAAGGATTTTGTGTGGAATTTATGGCGGAGATTGCAATCATCACAACCTGATGTGACCTCTGTTGTGAGCATGGTAATAGCACGCGAACAAGAGAAGAGTGAACACAAAGACAAGAAAGTTTTAGAGATTTTACAGATGAAGGATGAAAAGATCAAAGAGTTCAAAGAGAGGCTATTGTCAGCGGAGGATGAAGCACACTACAGCAAGACGCGATATCACGACTTACTAATCGAGAACGAAGAATTAAAACAGAAGCTGGACGAGGAACAAAAGAAGTTTTCAACAAAACAAAGAGAACTAAGTGAAGAAAATAGCTATTTGTCCACTTTGTTGAAAGCTCATCAGGCGCAGAAAGAAGTCGATGATCAAACCGTTAAAGAAAATCTGGATAGTATTGAAGAGGAGAAGAATCAGCTAAAAATTAGGATCGCTGTATTAGAGAAGCAAGTGAGTGATTTTAGCGAGGAAAAGTTGAATATGGCTTCGGTTATCGAAGTTAATGCAACTCTTGAGGAAAAGATCAAGACATTGGATGGTGAAGTAAGTGCCCTGACCTTAAAAAACACCGAAGTTGCCAAGAATTGTGAAGAAGCTGAGATAGAATTGACTAACAAGGAAAATCTTTTACAACAGCAGTTACAGTCATTGCAAGAACAAGGTGAAACAATTGGAAAATTAGAGAGCGACTTGGAGGCAGCAAAGAGGGAATTTGAACTAGTCGGAGAAGAATGCAAGCAGTCTATGGTGCAAATGTCAGAGAAGGAAAGGATCATACAGCAACTCGAGGAGAATGAACAGAGGAGCCGGCAAGCTCTGATGGATCGCGAGCAAGAATACCGCAGAGGACTCGCGTCCTTGCAAAAATCTGTCGCTGATTTGCAAATCCGATGCTCGGAGTATCAAGAAAAAGAGACTAAACTGCTGCAGGATATTGAGAAATTAAAGGAAAACTCAAGCAAACAGCGAGAGGATCTTAACGTCAAGGAATTGATAATTGAAGAATTGAAGGATGCCGTGCGAGAGGGAATTCGTTCGGGAGACGTTTCAAGACGTGATGATGAACGAGAAAGCAAGGGAAGAACAATGGAGAGGAAGGCGAGGACAGAGGCAAAGATAGGGGATGGAAGAAGTGGCAGACGCGGTGAAGGCATTGAACTAGAAAGCTTGCAAGAGCGTGATGGAAAAGAACTTACCAATCGCTGCTACGAGACCATTGATGACTCTCCATCTAAAATCGTAGGAAATGAAGAATCATTGGAAAGAAAGTTCGATAAAATAACAGTACTTCGTGACCTGGAGACTCGGCTGGGCGAAAGTCGCGATACAATTGATGAATTGAAGAAACTTTTGGAGCTTAAAGAAGCGGAACTTGTGGAGACGCGACGCGCACATGCGCAGCGGCAACAACGCTATAGGATGCTCAAAGAGAATTACCAACTTGTCTTGGAACAAATTAAAACTTACGAGGCTTCAAATGCTGACGAAACCGGAAGCGTGAAGCCACTTCCGGAAAGGCCGGAAGAACGTGAACTGAGGCACTTGGACAGTGATCAAGTATGGAAGGAATTGGCTTACTACAGGCACGAATATGAAGAACTGGCTAAAGAAAGACATGATGTTTTAGAAGAGATTGATATTCTTCGAGTGCAGCATTCTCACAATGTCGCAAACATCCAAGAACTACAAGTTCACCTCCGTGAAGAAAGAGAAGAGAGCAACGTGCTTAGGCATAAAATTTCAGCAGAGACACAGGCGTTTGAAGCACATCGACTTGAAGTGGAGAAACTCGAAGATCAGTTACAGAGTTGGCAAGAAAAAGCTCTCCGAGGACAGACGATGTGTAGTGAGCTGGAGGAGGGGAACCAAATTCTGCGGCATGAGATGAAAGCCATACAAGGCCAAAATAAATCTCTTGCGGAGGAGTT